AGGAAGGAAGTACGTTCAAAAAGACGGTGTTTGTATAGGTTCGTCGGTCGCACCCATTTTAGTGAAAGTTTAGATAGAGTAGTGCATAGTATACTGCAGGAGAAGTCCCCGGGTATGGCGTTAGTAAGGGAACATGTCCACGAATGTAACGACTGCAGTGCGATTTGGTCGGAGACAGAAATCATTCACAAGGAGGGGAATGATGCAAAAAGACTACTAAAGGAGACGGTACGGATAAAGTCTTTAGGTAATTGCATAAGTCAGGCGTCGTCGCAGTTCGGTAAACAGTCCGAAAGTTTTTTTTTTTTATATATTTTTCTTTCTATTTTGGATGTGTGTACGTACACCTTTGCCCCGTTTTAGATGCAGTGTGCGTCATCCCTTCATCCGTGGCATAAATCTTTTTTTTTTTTGTGTAGAGACCTTTTTTTTCCTGAATGAAGGAGGTACTGATTTTTTTTTTTTGTTAAATTTATGGGGAGTTTGTAGAGTTAACTTTGTGAATCGACATGAATGACATGTGAATCGACAGGCTTTGGCATTTGGACTGTCTAGAGCAGGTGTGGCCAAGCTGCGGCTCGCGAGCCGCATGCGGTGCCTCGCGTTTCTAGGTACGGCTCGCCCCCCCCCCCCCCCCCCTCTCTTTCTCTCTGTCTCTCTCTACCCCGCGCCTTCCCCGCCTCCCTCCCGGTCACACGAGTATTTCCAAAAGAAGAGGAACGCGTTTGAAATTAATCGACAGGTTGCTGTTTGGTGGCCTTGTGCTACTGCTACCTTATGTATAGTTGGACTGCTTATGACGTGGATAGTTGTAAAATAGTTGAAGTTTCTTTTATTGCTCTAAAAAAAAGTTTAGAGCCTCCCCCCCCCCCCCCCCCCCTAGTTTTCTGCCTTACCTCTCCCAGGCTGCTCTTGGAAATTTAGTGGCTTTTTTTTGCGACTCTTAGGGCGGGTCAGCCTGGCCACTCCTGGTCTAGAGGTTGTCCCCTTGTGTTGGTGGTGGATGATTGGAGGGTTTGGCGTTTGAACTGGTTAAAGATTGCCCCTTTTGTGTTGGTGGTGGCTGATTGTGGGCTATATAAGGAGGCGGACTAAATAAACATGGTAGCTGAGTTTGAAACGTCGTCCTGTCCTTTTATGTTCCTTCGACTTATCTGTTCACTTCTGCCCCAGTCTCAGGTTATTCAACATGGTGAACCTAAGACGAACGCCACGTTCAATGTAATCGACGTGGCGATTGACGAAAAAGACAGCATAATCCCGTCTCTCTGAGTGTTGAGCAAACACACACGTCGTTCTTGTCTGTTATGTTTTCTATTATTACATGACATCGCTTTAAATATTCAGGAGTATTATATCAACAAACTCTCCGGTTTAGGTTTTGGAGATTTTTTAAAAAACCTATTTTACAGACGCCAGGTGAAGTGTATGAAAATCGCTGCAAAGCAGTGAGATTGTTTTCTGGCTTTCCATAGTAATTAATTTTTGTTTAAATATATGACAGTAAAATAAGGGCTCTGTCGAGCTTTCAGATTTTGTTGTTTACTGTTGACCGTATGCATCTTCAATTGTGGTTGGTGGCGTAGATTATTAAAACTGTCATCTTCTTGCCTCGTTTAACCGCCTTGGTCTCGTCTGCATACATTGAACTGCGTGCGCTTCATGAAAAACGCAGACGGACACTGCAACGTGCATAAAAGAATAAAAAAAGTTCAGAAAAAAATTTGGCACAACTTCTTGAAAAGATTAGGGCCCAGTTCAATAATTACAGATGGCTTCACGTGGCGCTATAATGTCCACATGTTTCTTCACAATGTCACCGATTGTTTTGTCAAAAGTTTTGTCCAAAGCAACAAATAAAAATAAGAAACATTGTGAACACTGTTCATGTTTGCGTTCACGTCACGCACACGTCACGCACGAATCGAAGGTTTATCGCTGCACGCGCAGCGGAACGCAGCAACGCGTTGACATCGCATCTGTCGAGCGATGCGCCGTCGCTTTTTTGTATGGTGTCTGTGTCGGTCGGGTCACTGGTTTCGTTTTCTTGCCGCTACCAAGATGGCGGAATCAGTTCTCGGCGCGCAACCAGATGGCATTCTGCATATAGCCATTTCAAGCCTATCCTGCAAGGTGCAGTGGCCAAAGGTCAATAAAAGCTACCTCAATTGTATTTAAAAATATTCAAAGAACAATGTCAATATTCGTCACTAATGGCCAGTTTGAAGCAAGTTAAGCCGAATTCATTAATAGATACAAAAACTCAACATTGTTTAAGCCAAAATAGCCACTTGAAGCCAGGCTCATTCATAAACACTGATATAGTGCATATTTGACGATTATACTCCTGAGTAAAGGCCGGATTTTTAGGCACTAAAAAAGCACGTTTTAGGCGCCAAAAATACGCGGCAAAACCAACGTTTTAGGCACTAAAAAGAATAAAAGGGGCGCAATAAATTTTTAGATGAATGCTAATAATTTCAAGCGAAGACGTGAGCGAACTGTAAACACGACAGGAAATCCGAAAATGTCATTGGTATGAGGCCACAATGGCAGTAACAGTTCAATTCAATTCACTTCAATTCTTTATTTTTATCTCATAACAAGTTCTACACATTGACATTAGACGTCGAATTGCCCCGTAATACCTCTGGGCTAATGGCGATCAATTGGCTTAATTTCACAAGCGCATTGCTTACATACACGTTCAGGTGCGAAAGCCACTTAAGCGTCGCATATTGTGAAACAGGCAGGAGAAACAATACTTGAAATATGGTAATACTGATTTATAAAAGCGCAAAGTTATGCTTGTCTGACGCAATTAAATTACAATAAAGCAACAAAATAATAAATGCAAGATAGGCAAGGTATGTTAGAAATTAACACGTTGTTACGTGAGAACTTACGTACAAACTTTAGCAATTTTCTACAGGTACCTTAATTATACAGGCAAGACCTCTCACCACTGCCAAATACACATACGCTCATTCGAAATATAAATATTAAGAATTGTGTTTGGACAGAACGCGGAACCTAGTTTAAGAATCACTATGAAAATTATAGAAACAATAGGTAACAACCAGCATCTCCAGATTTTCGGGTTCAAAGTTGTGCCTCTTGTCGCTGAGAATGAGTTTGTACGCGGAGAACGAACACTCGACGTAGACAGATGTGATTGGTGCGTACTTATACTTGGGAAAATTCAATGGGTTAATTGACACTGGGATCCTACAGTGCTCACCAGCAAGGACTTGTGAAGCTTCTTTAAGGACAGAAAACCCCTTGTTTTTGGTCAAGACCGATTGCAGCTTCGCACGTGCCTTTTCGGCGACGGGTCCTTCGGGAACGGTTGGCAGAACACGGTCACTCCGTCTATTCTGTAACATGGTGAGTTAAGTGTCCACTGTCAGATCAACGTCAGATCAACGAAACGATTCCGTTTCGAAATGGCTGAAAAGGGCAGCGGAGAAAGCCAGACCGTGCACGTTGAAAGACCAGACCAGAAGGGAAGGGTGCCTCCTATTGGTCGGGTCTATTCACCTTGAGCCAATTTCTCCCCTGGTCTTCCCCATCACTTTCTTTTTCGTTTTCTTTTTCTTCCCCATCACTTTCTTTGCCCCTGACGGTATCATAGTTCCCCTAGGGAGTAGAGTTGTGCGTCCACCGCCAAGTCCTGCGGGAAAGCCACCCGTAAAGCATGCAGAAGCCGTCGCTTCGGTTGCACCGGCGCAAAGGGACGGGAGGGGGGGGGGGGGGGGGGAGTGTTAAAAAGAGGACCAGGTTCAAACCCATAGAATTCAGAACAGTAAATATTTCCAGGTAGAATGAATAAAGGTATCAAATCGCACTCGAATGCGAAACTTGACGCTACATAGTGCTTACTTAGGCGCCAATTTGAGAAAAAAAGGCCTTTATAGGCATTTATCGGAGTTTAGGCACCAACACCCAAAATAGGCATTTATAGGCACTAAAAAACCATCATAAAAGCCATCCTTGATCTCCAATTCGTGCTCATATATCGAAATGGGGCGATAGGAATGCAAGGAAAAAAATTGGCATTTGCCTAAAATCCGGTCTCTACTCATGAGTCATAAATAGCCATTGGTAGCCCATCTGGTATAATATATAAGCTACTAGGCAACATTACTCACTGGAAGCCATTCCAATTAGAAAACATTGAAACAAGTCAATACTGTCATTACGAGTTCCTAAAAGTCATTTATAGCCATTTCAAGCCAAACTAATAAAACAGTATATTGTTATAGCCAGTACTAGCCACCTGAAGCCATTTTCATTCATAATCACTGAAATAGCACAGAATTGTCAACAATATTCCCGAATAGCTAGCTATTTGTATCCATTTCAAGCCAATTTGGTAAAAAAAAAATAGATGCTACTAGCCAAAATATCCACATGAAGCCATTCACGTTTGGAGACACAGAAGTGGCTAAAATTACCAATACTTGTACCCTATGGCCATTTGTAGCCAATTCAAGCCAACCAGGTAAGGGATAGATGCTTGTTGTCAATTCAAGCTAACTAAGTCGAAAATATATGCCTATAGCCAATAATAGCGAGTTGAAGTCATTCAAATCCATACACGCTCTGATTGAATAAAATGTCAACTATAGTTGCTGATAAAGAGCCATTAAGAAGCCAATCAAATAAAAATAGTTGCTTATAGCCTATAATAGCCATTTGAAGTCGTTTTTATGCATAAACACCGAAATACCACTGAAATGTCAAACCTATTCACGAATAGCCATTCATAGCCAATGAAGCCAACGTATAAAGCAATGTAACAGGTTCCTATTCTCACCACCAGGGTGCGCTGGTCTTTACCTTGTAAAATGTGTCTTCGCCATATTAAATCTGTTCTTTGTGTGCTGTTCCTCTGCGTGAGAGCTTCTGTTCTTTGGCGCTTCGGCGCGACACAACAATGGCGACGAGGCTCGGATGGAAGATCGAACGAACCGAGTAACAACGTGGCAAACAGCACAATGCCGAAGTTCACGGAGTTCAAGCCGGAGGAGGACGACGTCGAAGAATATCTCAAACGCTTCGAGATTTTCCTTCGAGTGAACGCTGTCAAGACGGAAGACAAGGCCGTGACCCTGCTGAACTATATCGGAAAAGCGTCGTACCAGGTTCTGAAAACTTTGCTCGTCCCAGACTCGCCGGTATCGAGATCGTACGACGTACTTTCCGAGGTGCTGAAACGCCACTACGTGCCCAAGCGCTTAGTGATTGCAGAACGCACGAAGTTCCATTGGAGAAATCAAAAGGTCGGCGAGAGCCTAGCGGACATCTCCTTGGCTATCAAGAAGCTTGCCCAGACATGCGCGTTCAAGGACTACCTCGACCAGGCTCTGCGGGTCCGGCTCGTGGCGGGGTGTCGCGACCCTGAGGTACAGCGGAAACTCATCCAGCTCGACGACGATCACTTCGACGAAGTTCTAAAGGTGGGTTTGGCCAAAGAACTTTCTCTGCGCAAAACGGACGAGATAAGACAGCCCGGCGTTCCGAACTCAATGGACGTGCACCGCGTTCAAGGTGATGGTGAAGGACACTCCGGGTGCCCACCTTCCGCCACTGCATCGCCACAGATCCAGTATCAGCGTACGGCAGGCCCTTGTTTTAGATGCGCTAGTACTGTGCAAGCTTCCGAGAAGTGTCCGTTTTCGAAAGCAAAGTGTTTCAAATGCGGGAAGCAGGGGCACACTAAGGCGGTGTGTAGGGCCAAGCCTAAGCCTACTTCGAACACCAAGCGCGGACCTTGGAGCGTAACCTGTATGCGGAAGAATGGCGCGTCTGCGGCATTCCAGAAGGTATTAGAAATGGAAGAAAACCGGTGAAGATGGAAATCGACACTGGTTCAGCAGTTACTTTGATGTCAGAAAGAATGTATGTGAATTTCTTTTCTCGCGTGCCCCTTGAGGCGAGTGGCATGCGTCTCCGAACGCACACCGGGGCTCTAGTGTCAACCAAGGGTGTAGCGAGCGTTAATGTAAAAAACGGGGAGCTACCAAGCGAAAAGTTACCTTTGATTGTGCTAAAATCCGCGAATGCCCAGCTGCCAGCTCTTCAAGGCAGAGACTGGATCGAGCAGTTAGAAATTAACTGCACACTAAACTTTTTTACACCCCTTAGGGGTGTAAAGCACTTGTCCCAGGACGAGCACCCTTTGAGGGTGCAAAAGAGCACCCCTCTGCCAAAGCACCCTATAGGGGTGTGAAGTAGTATAGGGTGCAACGTGCAATGCAACCCAATCCAAGGGTGCTGATGCTGATTTTAATGGGTGCTGAGGATGATTCATTCTAATCGAAATAAACTTTTGTAAAAGAAAACTTTTCTCCTTTAAACAGATGATCTCGTTACAGATGCGCACTTAGCCAAGCCGACACTTTGTACAGGCAGGCTGGCACTAAAAGTGGACTATTATCTTACATTAGTTGATTAACTTTTTCAATTACTGGTTCGACAGCTGTTACGAAATTGAAGACAATCACCTCCTTAAATCAGTAAATTTTTTTATAAATCCTGAAATGAGCACATAGACCAAAAAAGAGAAAATATAATTTCACCAAAGGCAGCGGTATTGTAGCGGTCCAGAAAGTATTGTATCCCACAACCCGTTTTGTGTGCAACAATCTTTCACAATCGTTTTTTTCTGAGGTTTGTGCTCATTTCACGAAAAATAAGCTGGTCTGAGAAGGTGACTGCCCCCATTTTCACAATATGTGCTGGTGCTATCGAACCAGTAACTAAAAAGCTAATTCATGAATTTTATGCAATAAGTCCACTTTTAACTGTCATCTTGACTGTATAAAGTGTCTGCCAGGACAACTATAACTCAACCGTAAAAAGACAATTTGCATAAAACAAAAGTTTTATTTTACAAGAATCTGTTCCGATGAGAATGAATCACCCTGTGTCTCAGCACCTGTCAAACAGGGTTCAGTATACCAAGCATGGCAACCAGAAAACCACGAAGTATGCAGACCAGATAAGTGAAGAAATAAGGAGATGCAAAAGTGCAGTGCCAGCACAGGACCTTGTTACAGAAACTGGATTCCTGATTTGATGTGTGCAATGCATCGGCACATATGCTACTTGAAGCAGCCGTGCATAGATGCACTGTCCGATAATGAAGGCAAGATGTGAATGGCAAAAAAGGTAATGTTTCAATGTGAAGCTTATGTGCAAACGGAAGTTACAGGAAAATCTTGAGTAATTTAAGTTTTACTTCCGACAAAATTTGGAAGGAAAATAAGAAAATATCACAGAATTTGTTCCATGCCTTAAGCTTCTGAATTTATTAATTGCTCGATGGTCTTAATACTCGTATATTAGAATAGATCAGTGGGAGACATTCTTAAACATCATTTTAAAGAAGGAGTCTGCCACCAATCTCAATGTGTCCAATTGTCAAACTGCCAACACTGAAGTGTGATATGCATCACATGCATAATCAGCACTTGCTCATGCAAGCTAAGCAATGTGAGAAAGTGTATGGTACAAACATAAACAAGGAGCTTAGCTTGTTCAATCCCGATACTTGATCCTTGCATCCTGCTCTGGCTCGTCGGTCATTTCCCTTGCATATGAGGTGGTTACGAGTTGTCATACTTGGCATGCCGTAGTACCTTTACACTTTCGCCCAAGGCATGGCGAGTGGCATCAGCTGCATACAAACAGCATGTGATTGAGCTGCAAGTAAATACAATTTGTTATAAAATGAGTAAAAAAACTAAAAGAAAAACTAAATTAATAACTATTTATTGAGCTATTATGTGACCACAAAAAATAATGAGGTATGTCCTCCACACACATATCCAAATACAATACTTGAGGCATTCTATCAAATATCACAGCATATATAGGCCTAGATGCTAGTGAAAATCGAGACAAAATTGGGGGGTTTGAGTCAAAAGCCAAACTAAATGGATAATCATTTATTGAACTATTATGTGAGCACAACAAAATAACCAGCTATGTCCTCCATACAAATAACCAAATATATTTTCTTTAAATATCACAGTGCAGGCTTAAGATGCTAGCAAAAATAAGAAAAAAAAAATCAATACAGATTACCTCAGTACATCACAATGGTTCTTGATAAAATGACTAGAACAGAAGAACAATTTAGACGCCTTCCGTTTCGAGAGTATACTTTTTGTTCCATTGCACATGAGACTTTCACTTAGGACCCTAAAGTTGCATAAAAATCAAGCTACACTTCTTTTAGTTTAGGGCTTAAAACATTAAAACAAGCTACCATATTTTCCAGACTATACTTCACAATCGGCTGTATACTGCGCAAGGGTAAATTTCGGCTCAAAAGAAAAAGTATTTTCCTAGATAGTCCGCACTCGGTGTATAGTCCTCGGGGAAAACTTCAGGCTAGAGAACTCCACAAAAGAGATATCTGCGGATGAATGTCAGGGGGCTTTGTGTAATCTGCTCGTCAGCCAATCGCAGAGTTCCTCAAGATTTAGCTTGACCTAAGTTGGTTGCTTGCGGGCTCCCAAGCAAACAACATGTCAGATGCAAGGTATCGCAAGCCTGGGAAACAGACTAACGGTAAGAGGTTGTCTTGATTACGTTATCCCAGCGTAAAATATACAAAACACGGCAATCTGGCCTAACCAGTTTTGTAATAATGAACAATCTTGAAACAAAAATAGTAGAGTCCACACCTGTAGATAGACTGTACGGTGTAAAATATCAACTTTTAGACATGTATAGTTTGTGCACTATAGTCTGGAAAGTATAGTACATTTATTTTAGTTTCGAGTTAGAAGGTTAAATGGGCGCTATACTGAATTTTGACTTCACAAAACAAGGCACCAGAAGCACACAGTGAGATGCTACAGACCCCAAAACATCACTCATGCTGCAGTATCTCAACTGGATGGGCATATTTTCGAAAAAGGGAAGAAGAGCATACAAATGTCGCAAGCTTTGTTAATCATGCTCATATTTTCCAAAAAGTACTGCCATCCGTACAAGATACCGTCATATGAGTTATGTTCTAAGGTTTGCAGCATCCCACCTAGTGCTCCTCCCTGTTTTCGTGCCATCCAAATCTCGGTTCAGCATCCCTTTGGTACTAGAACGGTTGTTTGTCGGCCTCATTGATTCTACGCTCTTGCGACCTTGTTTAGGAATTTCATCAGAACTGGCCTCGGAGTAGTGCTGCTGAGGCCGACAAACAACCATCCTAGTACAGCAACTGTGTTTGCTGCCTTTTTCGAGTACGTATATTAAAAAGCCAGTAAGCCACCATGATGGCAGCGATGTCGTCCTCTGCATTCTTCACGGACAAAAACCGCTGCCTATCGACAGCGAGGTACAAAAAGTCAGCCCCCTCGGCGTCATTGCCAGAGTACACGACGCACGGCATTGCCGGAATGTCTTGCTCCTGTGTTAGCAAACAAAATCAATGCAATGTAAGGCAGGAACCATGCGTGATAGTCTTCTCTAAATCATCACAGTTAGTATATCACTATCTACCAGCGAGCTGGTCCAATGTTATTTGCTATAGTCACTTGATCTATGTTAAATACGTAATACGCCCACCCTCTGCAGGCCTGATTACACTTGTACAGAATGCCTTTTTCGAGTAGGAATATTAAAAAGCCAGTAAGCCACCATGATGGCAGCGATGTCGTCCTCTGCATTCTTCACGGACAAAAACCGCTGCCTATCGACAGCGAGGTACAAAAAGTCAGCCCCCTCGGCGTCATTGCCAGAGTACACGACGCACGGCATTGCCGGAATGTCTTGCTCCTGTGTTAGCAAACAAAATCAATGCAATGTAAGGCAGGAACCATGCGTGATAGTCTTCTCTAAATCATCACAGTTAGTATATCACTATCTACCGGCGAGCTGGTCCATTGTTATTTGCTATAGTCACTTGATCTATGTTAAATACGTAATACCCCCACCCTCTGCAGGCCTGATTACACTTGTACAGAATGCAACTTAGACAAGTGGCAGTGAATCATGCTTTCCCAGCACTGAAAAATATGCAAGATCATCAGTGCGACAGGGACACCTGCATTATCTCTGCGATTAGTAAAATTTCAGCAATGCTAGCCAGAAGTCTGGTTCCACATAGAGACGTAAACGTTGCTTTGGCTTGCTCATTGCGAAAAAGCCAGAATCAGTCAACAGGAGTCCACATTCTCCTTGTGTGGTCTCCTGATGTGCAATTACTTCATCTCCCATGTACATTTGGGCCAAAATATTTTGCTTTAGATGGTTAGAAATTTCGTGGAAACTACTTTTGGCCATGATATTTCCAACCATCAGTGTGTCAGCAAAGACAGCCACTGGATCCTTTGTACCTTTCTTGAAGAGTGTGCCGTGCAGTGATTAGAAAGCTTGTTTGACGAAGTTGTAGTCAAACATGTGAAGCAGTGCCATCAGCATCGTATTGGCTCCCCTGAGACCATGCGACTCCTAAACATCACCTCCAACTGCATAACTTTGCTAAACCCTGATCTAGATGAAGGCTAAACTATGTACAAGCATGGAACATGGCTCTATCTGTTGTGCAAAAAAGGTGCTAGTTTGTAATGTACCGCAAGCTTGGCTGCCATTAAAAAAAATGGAAAACTTTAATAAGATGAATACATTCACAATTGCATATGTGCCCCAATGTTGCCTAAACATTTGCTCAGAAAGATTGTGCGCAAGGGAGTTCATAAAAGCGCTAGGTTACATTTTGCAACCTATGCTAGAAAAGATAGTTGAGAGCTTACCTTCTCTCCAACAAACAGATGTGACAGTGCCATGGTTTCCTTGACATTGTAAACCACTATCATCGTAGCCGCTACTGCCAAGATGT